TGCCCAGGGCAAGGTGGCCCTGGAAAGCACTGGGGACAGGGTTTCTGGTGGTGACTCCAACTGGGTTATTGGGAATTACGTGCCTCGTGGCAGAGGGGATTTAGGGCTGAGAGACCGAGGCTGGCACCACTTATAGGCCCTGATAAAACAGCTGCTCAGTGTTTACTTTGGAGAGTGCAGTTTATTCACCTGGAGGAGTGTTAGTTATGATTAGCTCATTTTTTACATTCAGCTTTGCTTTTCCACTCCTTTTCCTCTGTTAAAATTAGGGTGCTTGATCTGATGGTGGCAGTTCTGTTCAAAGTCCAGTTCGCTTCCCTCTCTCCCCCACCTCCATACAGCTACTGAACACCAGGCCATGATAACAACCAGTCTTTTATAGAGTCATTTTTAAGCCAGTTAAAAATGCCATTTTAGTAGATTGCTCTATTTGAGTTAGCAGGAACAAGCTGTATCTTTTTTATTGCTTTTGACTGGTGAAGTGCAAGGTTTAGGCCGTGTTTCATGTGGGCTATAAAGTTATATTAATGTGCTGGTTAGTGGTCAGAAGTTCTGTATGTGTAACTAATGTGTAAATAGGAAAAATTCCCTGTGGTACAGAGGTCATGATGTTTTCTCTTTTGTTGCTTCCCTTACCCTTTGGAGAGTCACTTAATCTTTTACACAAATTCTCATTTTTTCTACAGAAGTGAGGATTTTTTTTGGTGGTGTGGTTTATGGTTTTTTTCCCACAGAACATCCAAAAAGCTATAAATTGCTATCTTGCCATCTGGGAAAGTAGGAGACAATTCCTTTGATTATCTATGCAAGAAGATAAGCTAGCAGAATGGAAATATTCATCCCTGCTTGGTAACTCTTTCATTCTCAGAGTGGTCTCCTCCTTCTGAAGGGACTGGAACCATCAGGGAATAGAACAAATGAATCAAATCCTCATCTCCACTTATCTCCATCAATCAGAGCAGCAAGAACAGGCTAATCTCTTGAGGGCTGCTGTGTCTGCTTTCAAAAAAGAGGGAAGAAGACAAGTGTCTGTGGCAGGCAAGGAAATTGAGCAACATGCTGAGCTCCCTTTTTATTACTTCTAGTGTCCACGTTTGCCCCTATACAGCTTACATGGTTTGGGTAGTCTAAGCATGAATGGAAGGTAAAAATTAAAATTCATGGAGGAATTTGAAGAGATTTACATGTGTGAGAGGGCCAGTACAAAGCCTTTGACACATGCAGGACTTAAAAAGATATTTTGAATAGGACTTGAAGCAAAATATAATGGGCCAGAATTTATGACAGCAGGCAAGCACATTGCTGAGCAGTGTGAATTGTCCAAAGAAAAATATGGGATGAATATGTCCCATCATGATTATTTATCGGGATAACTGCAGTCAGTTTTGGCTCAAAGGTTGCTTTATAGACACAGGGAAGCTCTGACTAGCTTGTCACAGACAAGAACTTCTCCTATGGTATGTCCTACAAGAAAAGGAGGTTTCATAAGAGAAAGACATGGATTGCAGAAGTTGTTGTTGTCTTATTATTTGCATACCATACCATATTATTTTCTAGGGAAAATGATAGGCTATTTACAGCCTAAACCAGACAATCAACTGCAGACTGTCCAAATTAAAATAAACAACAATTACATTGCACTTATCCCTTTAAAAGGATGTTTTAAAGTTCCTGGATTTCAGGGAATAAATGATATAGGAGAAGGACGAATGTTTTCAAATACTTAAAAGTATCTTTTATATTTTCTATTATGTTGGTTTGGAATACTGAATGGAAAGAGATGAAAGTTAATGTGTTGATTTATAGAAATTATTTGATCAGTCCTTGTGCGGGAAAACAGTTGTTTCTCCCTCTGCCCATGCCTCCATTAGATTTTACTGAGCAAATTCGTATTTGCTTAACATATCCCTGGGTAGCTCTTGCATGAATTGAGCCAGAAAAACCACTTAACTTTATAGGATGCTGAATCCTGGTATCAAAAGTCAATAGCATATTTTCTCTTAGTAGCTTTGCATTTACTTTAAAAGCTTCTCTTCACCTGGAAATAAGGCCTGTCCATATCTTCACAAAGTAGGTGTTCCCTGACACTAATGCAGTGACTGACACTACTGAAAGTAATAGTCCCATTCCCTTTGCAGCCAGGAGCTCCTAAATCTGCTTTGCGTTATCAGTATAATGGGGTTGGATACATTTTTAAAAGGTGGTGCCTATTGATTACTTAATGGAAAAAGTTAGTATAGAGAACTGCTGAAGCAGCCCTATTCAGTGCTCTCCAGTGCAGCAGCACCATTATCTAGAACAGTGGAAATCATCCTGTAACCCTTATTAATATTTAATAAGGATGAAGCAACACTGAAGTACACTACCAAATAGCCCCAGGCTCCTGCACATGTAGGATATAAGGTTGTTTCGAGGGTCAAAAAAGAATAACTGCTCAAGCTGTTTATAAGTAAGACCAATGCTAAACAGTGTTTTCCCTCTTGTTCCTTTTAAACTATTTCCAGCACATCTGCACTTTAATATACACTTATTCCTACTAGACATATTGAAGTGTTGGAATGCAACAGAAAGGTCAGAGTGTGTTTAGAGATTGCTGAGACAATTTTATACTTTCCTTTCCCAGTACTGCTGTGAATCCCAGGCTCCCCTCTCCCTCCTGCTCTATGCTGCAGGGCACATTTGGCTGGGCTGACAAGCTAGTCAAAGGTGTTAATCCTGTCTAATAGAACCATAATCCTCAGGGCTGTGTTTTTATATCATACTATTGAGCTAACCCCTTGTCACAGGATGTTCTTCATCTATTTAATAGCAAAGATCTTTATGGGAATTTTAGATAAAATAAAATGTGCAATACAAATTGTAATGTTCAGTTTCACAATGTAAAACCAAACAAATAAACCACAATGTTTAGACAACAGAGATTTTACAATCAGTTAGGAGGAGAGCTGTGTGATTTTTATATTTTCTTTTTTTTTTCCCCTCAGTGAATAGTAAACGTCATTATAATTGTCCAAAAATATTCACAAATCTGGGTCAGTTTCTTCAAATAACCTTTGGCTGGAAATATTTTTCAGGTTAGATGTGCCCAGAAATATAGGGTGGGGCTAGTGGGTAAAAGAGGATGTTATTCCTTTAAGCTGCACTGCTTAGAATATGGGAATATGGAACAATGTGTAAACTTTTCCAGCTGACTCTGCTCAGGCTCCCACTGCTATGTCCACATTCATTTTTTGGGGGAGGTAGCAGAACTGGTTAATAAATAAGTTTGGGGAAACAGGGAAACACATCAAGGAGAGATTTCTCCTTAACTTCTCTGGAAGCTGGTCCATGCCAGCATTAAGCGTGCCTGTAGTGTGAAGGCAGGCAGAGGCACTGGCTCCCAAACCAGTCCTTTGCTCCTCCTCTTTTGTTGCCCAAAGGATGTTCTACTTCTGTTGCTTCTGGGGCTGCTTCATGACAATTCTTGCCTGGTGGAGAAGATTTGAACTCTGCAATAGGAAAGCTGGGAGGTCACAAACCTTTTGAGTCTTGTGAAGTGCCTGGATTGACAGCAAAAGGAGGGAGCTGGAGATGCCAGGTGAAGAGTGCACAGTGGGTGCTTTAGAAATCTGGGGGAGATGAAAATGTGACTCATGTGGCTGGGGGTGGGGGAAGAAAGCAATGGAACAAGGAACTAGTTTGGCTGAAATCACATCTTTACAAAGTGGATATGGGCAAGGTAAAAGGATGAATAACTACAGGAAAAGCTGTAGCCCAGATACTCTGAAATCACTTATTAAATCAGACAGAATGTATTTATTTTGTGGTTTGCTATTTTAGTTCAGTGTTTTTTTCCTCCAGAGGGGATTTTGAATACTCAAAAATCAAATGAGATTTTATTGCCTCATGTATAATAGTGAACCCTGTTCAAGAGCTCTCATACTGCATTAAAGATTTTCATTTAGTATGGAAGAGGGAAGTACTTAAAAAACCTGAAGTCATTCTTGAGCTAGCTGTGAGTATTGGTGAAGACATAAAAGCAAGCTTTTAAAAACACTATAGAGTGGATAGATGTCCAAATTCTGGCTGTTTCTAGGGCCACACTTAAAGGGACTCCCAACTTGGCATCCATGCCAATTTTATGCATTTTGCCCCCGTGGGCAGCGCAGTGTCGGGCAGCTCTGCCTGGCATGTCTGACAGGTATTTCTGTATGACCCCACTCCTCCAAATCTGCTGTGCCACTTCCCTCCTTTCCATGCCATTTATCCACATGCAGAAAGAGTACAAACTAGGAGGAAGTCAGAGCAATCCATTCACCATCTCTTAATAAGCAGCTCAGGTGATGCAGCTTTGTCAAGTAAAGCTGTTGTATGGCAGAAAATTGTACCCATTTATGTTCAAATATTTGGATTTTTAATTGGGAAATTGAGAAGAAAAGCACAAGGCCTGCCTGATTATTCTGTTACTTACTCCCTCTGCAATGTGTGCATTTTGGATAAGATGTATTCATAATCCTCATTCATAATCCTGAGTCCTGGCTCATTCCTGATGATAAAGAACCATAAATTGTCTTCCCAGCCGAAAAAATACGTTGTATAAATTGCCACAATTTACACCACCAAAACCAAGTCTATTGCTTGTATCATATTTATGATGACACCTTTTTTTTTTTGAAACTCATAAATAAGTCTTTCTCACCTGCAAATAATGCATGTTTATTTACATACATAAATAATGTGAAATGGATGTAGAAGAACTCATAATCATATCCATTACCTAATTAGTATTTGAAGCAGTATTGTTTCTCTTATTTTTCTACTTCTGCCTGTACAGTCATAATTTTTTTCCCCTACAGTCACCTCATATTTTGTTTCTAGCTGGATGTAGCAGTTCATGATCCACTGATATGGGAGGGATTTTTAACACCAACAGGTGGCTTGACAGTTTTTTTTAAGTCTTAATAACACAACAAAGCAAAACAGCACCAGTGAGTCAAGGTTTGTCTTCTCTTCTTTTTCAGCGCACGAGCAGCTTTGGGAGCTTTGACCGTTTCAGGCATCACTCAATATCAAAGACAGATGATTCAGCTGAGGTCTGTAGGACACAAAGTTTGAATTTCTGCAGTTCACTTCCCATGACAGTTATGCAAAAACATTGGAAAGCTATTGTGAAAATTTTGCAGTGCTGAGAACTTGTGTACCTACCTGCATCTGTTCACTGATTGAGGCCTTGACAAAAAAGCCAAGAGAATCACACCTAAACTAAAGTACTAAACTTTGGCACTTTGATGTGAAAATAGAAACAATTAATAAAAAAAGTGCACTTCACATTGGTGCATGCCCAAAGTACCCAGCACTTTTCAAGTAACCCACATATGTGTCACTTTTGTTTTCAAGACCCCTGTGAAAATTCCCTCAATTCTTACTGATCTTAGGGACAACAAATAATGGGAAATAACATTACCTACCACAAAATATATTTTCTTTCTGTCATTTATACATAGAGTATTGTGCTGCAAACCTATTTAGGTACACAGTTTCCAAGGAAAATGCCCATGACTGAATATTGTCATGCTAACTGTGTTAGTGCCCTTAATATTTCCCCATAATTTCTGTTTCACCTTGCTGTGTTTTATTTTCGTGCTGAGTTATTGCTTACTTTTTGATTTCAAAACAGATATCTGAGCTGGAGACTATAAGTGACATTGGGGAAGCAGTACAAATCAAAGCAGCAAACAATGGAGGAAGTCTGAGTAAGAAAATGAGAGCCATTTCACTTACCATGAAGAAAAAGATGGGTAAAAAATACATCAAGGCACTCTCTGAGGAGATGGTAAATATGGCCTAAGAGCCTTGTGTTTGTTGGAAATACATGTGAAGTAAAAACATTACATGCATTTTTTCTGTTCATGTTTCAACTGCCCTCAGCTGTGACAAACCATAAAACCAGGGTAACAGCACATACTGAATTAAGCCAGCTTTTGGTATGTACCTGTTCTTTCATGTGCATTTTAGTGCACATGCAAATCACACAGTAAGGGCCCAAGAGAGTCATAAGACTTTTGCTTCATTTAATTTTGCTTTTTCATCAAGGACCATTAGTATGAGCAAGTGTGTATGAGCACAAAAACCATCCTCATGTGGACACAAGGGAGTATTGGTCAAACCCAATCATCAATCTGATGCTCAGTTTGTACAAAAAGCTTCATTAGAAGAATTTATTTCCCAATACAAGAATTATTTCTGAAGTCCACTTTGTAAAGATCAGCCAGCATCCTAAAGAATTCCAACTCAGACACCTTATCTCCTTTTACCTTATCTAATCTTAGTGAAACTATCTTTATTAAACATAAAAAACATAATCTTGCGCATACTGCGAACCCTGTTTTCTCAGTACTTTGTATCAGTAAATTCCAAAATTTAAAAGCATAAAGAAAAAAACTTGTCACACTTAACAATCCTAAAAAATCTAGCTAGTCTGCATCCTATCATCTCATGTGTCAATATCAAGTAAGTAAGGAAAATCAATGAGGAACGTCACAAGTAGAAAATAATTTTTCACAGGATACCTTTAAATACCTTTTGGAGGACCAAGACAAGGGCCTGTATTTCATTAATTTAGTTTTCTTTTATTTTTTTTTCTAAAGTGCAATCAATGATCTTTATATTACATTTTTATATTTCCTTTCTGCACACTTAAAGCAACAATTCCCATGACAGAAATTCAATGGATTATCTGGTTGGACACACATGTAGCATGATCTTCCTTCCTGCAGGAGATGATGACAATCAATACCAGCATGCTGATTAACCTGTTATGCTGCTGGCTGGTGTAACAAGCACAATTCTTGTTGAAAACCAGTATAGTTCTTCATTTCAGTGCTCTGCCTGACATGTGCCTGTATGGATCTCTGCTTCACACATGCACTGTCATCTTTGCTTCATCACCTAACAAGTGAATAATTTTTCCCCAAATACAATGTGCTGAAGGAAGTTTCAATTGCATCAGGATATCACATGCACTGGTAACATGATGAATTCTACTGAAAAATCCCTCCCTTTGAAAGATCTATTTCATTTATCAGTTACATTGTCTCTAACTTAACTGTGACTGAAATATGGATCTTATTGTTTTGAACAGGCTGTGATTCCTGAGGTGTGATTTACTGGGATAAACTCAAGGGGCCAATTTCATACACCATTAGACTTTGTGAGAGAAACATGTACTTGTTAATTCTGAACTGCCCTGGATTTCGAGGGCAGGGTGAATGCTGGGCAGTGTGCTGAGCACGGTGCTAGAACACACCAGTGCCCTACGTGTGTGCAAGCTGTCCCCAGCCTGCCACCAAGCAGCCACCATCTTCAGAAGTTCAGTGTAAAACACAGCTGTGTCAGCAGCTCTTCACCACCTGCTTTCAGAACTGAGCTTTATATTTCCTTCTCTGAGACAAGCAGGCAAAATCTTATCAGGCTGCCCACAAATTTCCCATTGCAAGCTTAGCTCTGCCATGGCATGTTGTAATGTTCCTAGCTTAGCTGTTTGAGCAGAGGGGATGAAGTGAGTGGGGCAGAAACAAGAGGGAATTTCTCTAGGATCATAAAATACTAGGGGTGATTGTTGGGCATGGTTAGTACCAGGCTTCTAAAATACCTTCTCTCACAAAGGAGTTCTTAATAAAGTGCAACAATGAGCTGATCTCCATTGGTGCTTTAAAACAAACAAACAAAAAATCTCTAAAATACATTTCTTGGAGGCTAATATTTGATTTTTGTGTTAAAGAATGAAGAGGGAAAAGATGACGGTGATCCTGGTGGTGGAGCACAAACTGAGAAGGTCTCCCTAAAAACCAGTGACTCTTTGGAAAGTCTCTATAGTCTGAACAGTGGCCAGAGCTCATCTAGTAAGTACAAGACACCTATACTTCTTATTCAGTCACTGGATCAATATAGTTATTGCTTATGTCTGTGGAATCAGAGCTGGTGATCAAAAATGTGATGGTGGAGAGCTCTTCATTCTGGCAGACAAAAGTGTAATTTGGTTAAATGGGTAGCAGCTAGGGTAGATATACATCTATCCAGAAATAAGTGGTGTGTATTTAAGAGTGGGAATACTAATTGAATAAAAAAAATTATATGAATTATAAAGCATAGTGCTGGTATGTATGCCATACATTTTTTTGGGGGTTATCACTGCCTTAGTGCTGGTTTTGCAATCACTGGGTGCAGCCACACAAGCGTCCTCTCCTGGGGGACTGGCTGTGAGTTCATCCTCTGCCCTGGAGATGGGAGGCAGACAAAGTCTCTCTGATTTGGTGGGAGATGTGGGTCTGGCCTGGCAGCTTTGGGACATGATGCAGAGAGACACAGCCCACCTGAAATCCACTGAAAACCCTCCCCCATCAGGGTAGTTTTGGTTGGAGTGCAGAGGAGTCTCTGATGAGAAATGTGCCTCCATCTCTCTCTGTGTTGCCCTGCTGTGGGTATCTGCTGGGTGGCAGACCACAGCTATCCCTGGTTACATGTTGTGCCCCTTTGCAGGCACTGCCCAAGCCCTGAGTGCAGACTGGAGCTGCAGTCCAGACCATTTGCACTTAGAGTTAATCTGGCCCTCAGATGGAGCTGTGCACTTAAGCAATCACCTCAAACAGAACCATTTTTATGATCATTTTCTGTGACGTGATTTGTGAAAATCGTATATGGGAGTTTACTTCCAATACACTTGCTGCTCTTATCTAAAAACATATTTGGATGGGATATTGCAGAGCTTGCTCAAATTTGCTTGAATTACTCTGCTGATATTTTATTGCTCAACTTGGATAAAATGACAGGCAGAAATGTTGATAAGATTAAAATTTCCCTCTGCAATGCAGGTTCCTTTGATGTTTCAGCTAGCTCTGGAATGAAATAAAATAACTTTTACAGTACTTGTTTTCATTTCTCTGAATAAACAGGAGAAGTTCAGCAGAATTAATTCCCCAAATTGCACTTTTAGGGTGCATTTTATTAATCTGCAGAGGTAATACTTCAAAAAGCCTGTAAATAAAATGCATAGTCTATTACTATCATCACCAAAAAAACATTACTTTAGGGAAGATATTAATGAAAGATCTCCTACCCATTTTGTTCTGTCTCTTGTAGCATGATTTTTATTGAACGTAGTTATCCTGGAACGTGTCAAACCCGCACAGAATACGCTCTGTCCCTGACTCTGTGGTTTTGAACACTTTCCTTTGGGCTGCTGTGCAGAGTTGCATGTCTGGGCATTTGGTGCAGGGGTGTCTGAAGCTGCCTCTCTCCCAGGTGGGGTGACCAGCTGCTCGGATGGCACGAGCAACAGGGACAGCCTCCGCTTTGACGACGAGGTCCCCTACAGCGGCCCCTTCTGCGGCCGAGCCAAGGTCCACACCGACTTCACTCCCAGTCCTTACGACACCGACTCGCTGAAAATCAAGGTAAGGCAACCACCAGGATTCCTTCTCTCCCACGAGCAATGCCAGGGGGACCATTTTTTGCATGTAAATAATACACTTAATAATGAATTTTTAGCTGCTCAAGCATGTGGAGCCCTGTAAAAGCAAGGCTGATCTGTTTTGCAATGCTTCCATAAGGACTTAGTTCAGACAAGGCTGCAAAGCCAAGTACTGCTAAAGTCCTTTTAAGGCACAAATTCCAGGGATGAACCTCTTCATGGTATCTCCCTACCCACCCCAGCCTTCCTCTCCCACTTACATGGTCTGGAGTAAGGAAGAGTAAAGTCTCATGGGATGTGAAGTTGTCTCCCCAAGCTTTCCCAGTCACAACTAGGATATATCCAAAGCTCAGTGGCACCCATTACCTTTAATAAAACCAGTTTGCCTTTACATTAAAATTTTCTTTAAGCCTATGTTTGAGCTGTGAACATTTTTCAGCCCAGGCATGACAAGGAGTGTCTGGGCTGCATGAGTGAGGAAGAGCAACAAAGAGGGGCCCAGTTGAACATTACTTAAAAAACCCAGTCCTTCAGACTCTTTTCCTCTTCACATCTTCTTCATTTTGGCAAATCCTCAGAGACTCCCTCTCCTCCTCTCTGAGAGCTGGTGCTCTGCTGGTATTTGTAGTCTTCAGCACTTGCCCTCCACTTCCACCCACCTAGGGCATTTCTTTGAATACAGTTTAGTATTTTTAACTATTTAACTGGTCATGAAATGGCATATATCTGCTGGCTCATAGAGGTTCCTTTTTTAGTCATTAGGGGGATGTATTTTGGAAGTATAAGTTAATACTTAGGGTTGAAATCTCCTATATTTATCACATAAAATTTCAGTACCCTGAATCTGAATTCAAAGTGCATCTGCAGCTTGGCTTGGAGCCACTGCCAAATCCTGACCTGCAACCACATCTAAAGCTCCCGAGCCTGCACGAGTTTGTAGAATAATGTGCTTATAGAGCTGTAAAGAAATGTTTGTTTAGTTTCCATTTCAAATGTGCTCACAGCTCTGAGCCCCATGTTCTAACTAAACCAGGTCACCAGCTCACAGTCAATTCTGCACCTGGGTTTGTACCAAAACTACAAGTGTGTGACCACTTCACTTGTTGTTCCTTGACCAAACCAGAAAAGATGGACCTCATGGAGCTGTGGACACATCCTAACAAACTGAGTTTGATTTCTAACTTTGTAACAGAATCCCAAATGAAGCAGGTATTTGTTGGATAACTCTTCAACATTTTTCTGTGATATGTGCCAAGAAGAGAAGGCTCAGTTTGAGGTCCTTGGGAGATAACTGTGCAGGGTGCATGACTTTGTAAGAGCCTTTTTACTATGGGAGTTACACAGAATGACTGTTTTCCTGAGCCTTAGTTCCCACCGTGTGGCTCTGAACATCTTTACCAAAAAGCCCTCTTGAAATAGTTGTGTTGTCACTCTTTAAAGCACTCATATTTGTTAAGGGAGTTAAAAGTTCTTTATTATCTTTCAGAAATGCAGACACTGATTATTCCTGTAAAATGGGTAGGAGTCCACCTTTCATATAGATCAGCTATCTGTTTTTTAAGACCCTTGAGAGGTTAGATAATAAGATTATTTTGTAAATGCTATGACACATACTTTGAAAATAACCTTACAGTAATCCCTTGCTTTTTTTGACAAAACTGTGTCCACTGCCCATGACAAAATTAATTGCTGATGTAACCCTTGGTCCTTTTCAGGGACCAAGTGGAGCACAAAAGTAGTGAGAGGGGCTGCTTATGCTCACCTCTCCTTCACAAAGGTTTGGAGATAAGGACTATCTCCACTTTCTGAAATTCTTTTCCTGTGATTTTATAAAAGCAAAGGCACTAACTATATTTAGGTAATTAAAAAAAGTTACTTCACACTGACTAGTGCTGGTTTTGGTCCATAGAGGAAGAGCTATATATAACAAACCAGAGGTGTAAGCATTGGTGTGTTTTTTTTTTTATTGTTCTAGAAAGGAGACATCATAGATATCATCTGCAAAACTCCCATGGGCATATGGACAGGCATGCTGAACAACAAAGTAGGAAATTTCAAGTTCATTTACGTGGATGTTATTTTGGAAGAAGAAGCAGCACCCAGAAAGATAAACCCACACAGAGGAAGCAAAAGGACCAAGCCTAAAACATTGCAAGAGCTCCTGGAATGTGTCCACCTGCAGGTCAGCCAAGGCATTTCCCAGCTCTGTTTGAAACGTTCCCTTTCTGTGCGCTCGGGTTTGAATGTCATTTACAGGCAGGAGGAGAAAGGCAGGTTTCAGCAGTTTTGATGTCAGCAAAGCAAAGCAATCTCGTGTCTGTCTTTTATCTGATGTGAGTGATAGCAAGATGATTTTTTCCCTTTTCTTTTATATACCTTTTATATAACTTCTATGTAACCTCAGTATTCTTAGCATGCATAATTGTAATTCCTTAAGTCTAATAACTTAGCAGAGTCCTGGTATTCTGTTAGGCCAGGGGACCAAACATCTTAAAGACCTCGCAGTAGGAGGCCAGAAAACCCTATGCTATTTTGGGAAACCAAGGTCTCTCTAGAACATATCCTGTAAACTAGAGATTTGGCCCATTCAGGGGGAATATCACACCATTCATCCAGGGCTCTCACAGGGGCATCCTTGTTAGATATGCTATTTTGTAAGGTCTGTAAATTGTTTACACGATCAACAGTGTGTGTGCATTGTGGCACATTCCACCTTGGCAAAGTGGTGCACCAAGAAGGATCCTTTTTAAATACCAAGGTAAAAACCCCTTATCCCTTAACTATGTCTGGCTCCCAGTTTTTAAGACCAGGAAAGGCATCATGAGCAGCTTATAGAACTGCATTTTACCTCATCATGTGGCTGGGTTAGGAAACTCCACTCAGAGAGGAGGCTGGTGACTTGTCAGGTCAGCCTGACTGCAGTTGTGTCCCTGAGTAGAGATCTGTGGCTGTGGACATTTCAGGGACTGGGCTGCAGTCTGACTCCAGACAAAACTGAGAATTTGTGGTTTTAATTTCTAGTGATCTTTAGGGAGCAATAGTATTTTTGCACTGTGCTCATGTTGCGCCTCTCTCCCTCTCTGCAACCCTAGATCTTGACTGAGTGTCAAAGTGTAATGAGGTCATGATTTACAAGTAACATTTTTAATAAGGGTAATTGCTTTGCTGCTGATGCAAACACTCCTTTCCCTGGAGCATGCACAGAGTTTTGTACTGAGTCAACACACAGCTCAAGAAAGACCTTGTGTGACACAGCAGGGCCAAGGGCTCCCTCTGCTTCTCCCCTTGCTTGTATCGAGGGGCTCCTCCTGTGAAAAGGAAGAGCACTCCTTCCCTCAGAGACCCTCCTCTGCTCAGCGTGGAGACACTCATGGAGTGACCCACAAAAGTCCAAACACTCAGCAGATTAAATCATTTCTGACAGAGCTCTGCCCTGGTCCTGTGTGCTGCTGGGCTGTGCTAGGGAGTTCAGGCACAGATGCTGGCATGGCCAGGAGGACTCCCAGGCATCTCTGCCTCTGCTCCCTCTTGCTCTCCACCTCTACCAAAGTTAAGTCAATTGCACTGGAGAACAGAGCCCATTTCAACCTGGCCAAAAAGAAAAAGCACAACTGTGCCTATTCCTCTACTAAACATAGTGCTTGTTTCCATGGGAGGATTTGCTTGTTTCCTTTTGTAGGAATATGCCTCAACCCTCCTGCTGAATGGCTATGAAACTCTAGAGGACTTGAAGGATCTACAGGAAAGCCACCTTATTGAATTAAATATTTCGAACCCAGAAGACAGGGCAAGATTGTTATCAGCAATTGAAAATCTCCAGGACTGTGACAGTAAGTGTTTAAGATTTGCCAAAAGTATGTTAAATATTATCTTAAGCAAAACTTAGGTCAAAAATCTCCAGTAAAGAATTTATTTTAATTTTTTAAACAACATTCTGCCGATAATTACAATTCTTTTCCTCCGTTGCTTCATTGCACACTTAAATCCTTATCCAAATTAGCTTTTTCTTTGTAGGAAAGTATTTTTTTTAAAAAATGAAAATATACACTAATATCTGATTTTCATTCTTCTCTCAAAATTAATCTAACTTGTGTTTCTGGTGAGCTTCCAAGAGTGAACATATGGGGTGTATATATGCACGTGTATTGGTCACCATTTTGTTTTCTACACTTGTTCCTTTTGTGGGGAGTGGAAAAGCTAGGATATGGAACAGGAAATCTCTTCTCATTATATTTTAATGATATTTCCAGTCTGACTTCGAATTGTAAATAATTTATGTCAATTTTGTAGAAACTACAGCTAAGCATCTACTTAATTAGACACTCAGACAAAACAGGAGTGGTTTCATCTTCATTAATATTTGTGCATACTCCCTTTATGCTGAACAGTCATGGCATCAAATATGCACTTCCAACTGAGAAACGTAGGAAAGAGAGAGATGGCTAAACAATGTCTCCCTGGGATAGCTTAATATCGATTTTTGTCAGGCATCCACTGACTATCTCCTCAGTATGTAGGCAGCTTTGCATTTTTTTTCTGAATGTTTGGGCTTTTTTTAAGAACCCTATTTGTACATTAAGTTGTTCCCGTTCTTATTCAGCTTCCAGTGAAAGGCTCTTACAAATATCTTGGAGTGCCATTCGAAAGGTTTTGTTTGCCCTCCAGGTTCAGAAGTTCTTTCTGGTCTATAGCTCTGTGAGATGACACTTTTGAAAAGAACTCTTGAAGGGCTGTCTATGTAGAAGCAACGATTGAAAGAGTGAATCTAGAAAAAAAAAAAAAGGTTACATTTTGCACAAGTTTTATTGCAGGGATCTGCTAGGAAGTAAACTGAAAATGTATATACTGTGCATAGTGTCTTTGTTGTGGGAACCAGCCTTGCTGTTCTTTCTGCATCTATTACTGTGAATGTTTTTCTACATTTAACACCAGAAAAATAGCAAAGAAAAATGCTAGATTGTATTTTTGCAGTTTTGCATCAGTGTGAAAGCCAAAATGAAACATAATGGTTTCTAACAGACCACACGAGTGTTGAACTTTTCTGTAGTGGTGAGAGTATGGTTTGCTATTTGGATTTGCTGGGTAACAGAAAGCAGAGCAAGCAGCTTTCGATACTGAATGTGTCTTAATACTTAATGTTCTACATGCACCTGTTCAAGAACCAAACCTAACAAAGTCCTTACATGTCCCATATTCTGAAAATTAATATATTCACCCTTATTATCCAAATTGAGTTCTTTCTATGTTGGCAGCATAGGACTAAGTCACTTCTCCAGGCAAAACAGTGTCCCTGATGTTATCTGCATGGTTTAATAGTTCAAATTCTTGTAACAGCTCTGGGAATAATAACATTAAATCTTATAAAGGGGTCCATGCTTCAGTGATGACACTGTAGTCTTATTTAAGAGATGAAATGAATATTTGTTTCACACGCACTTTAGATAGGTATCTAAGATAGCAAATCTTTCTAGTATTTAAATTCAATCAAATGATTTCCTCATAACTTATGAATGCTCACAGGGACCAGAACCACATCATCTTTTTTTGTCGTACCAGCAATAAGCATTCATTTAAGTCTAGTTAAATTTGGTAAGACTAGTGTATGTTTTAAGTAAGCCATGACTAAATTCTGTCCTAGTTTGATTCTTGAATCCTTGCTGCATCTGATTGCAAAGGGGTCAGAGTATTTGTCACATGATGGTGGGGACAGAACTGAACAACCTGTTCCAGAAAGGAGGATACTAAAGACCAAAATGGATAGAAGCTATCTGTTAAGTTGTTATAACAAAAGACAGGGCGTCAAGATGATCTTGGGGATAAGATCCGTGCGAGTCTGACGTTGTACAAATCATTTGACCTCTTTGTCGTTCTGTCAATCAGATTGGAAAATTGGGTTGAAAGAGCTGGGTGCTACTGTGAAAGTGAATTCTGCATCTGGACTGAACTCTCCTGGGTCAATATTTTTTTTTTTTTTTCCTAAATGGGCATGGCTCAGTCCAGCATAAATGATTTTTTAATTAAAATTGATTTTGTGCATTGCTTAGAAGTGAGCTGCATAATTACCCACAGCTACAACGTAATCTGTTTACAGGCCAAGATAATTCTAAATAGAATTTCAGCACTTTCCAGGTAAAATGTTCACTTTTTAAAAATAAGCTTTATGAAAAAGTAATCTAAGGCCATAGACTGTATTTACTGTTCTAGGACCATCCTTCTCACAGAGCTTGGAAGACTTCCATGTCTCTGCATTCCATTCGTGCTTCCATGAAGCACATGTTTGATTAATGGATGGAGAGGCAGGTATGGCCCAGACTTGAAATACAAGGGTTGCTGAGTTTTTGTGACACTGCTATTATTCAAAACAACCAAGTGTGCTGGAACATAACCTCATTTTACTAGACTCTCCTATAAATGTAGCAAAACAAGATTTATTTTTTTTTTTTTTAATGTGAAATCTGATCTTGTGAGATGTCCAGAAGTTTTCACAAGGCTTTTAATTTCTTTGTCATTCCTTGGCTTTTTCTTGACATTTATTGTATGTTATGCTAAGTAATTTCTTCATGACACATACTCGTGGTGTATAATTCATCTCATAGAATAAGCATTTATTGAGTTTTCTAACCAAAAGACCTGCAGCAGTAGTTTCCACATTATATGCTACTTAAAGCCATGCAAAATATAGGATTTTTGGCAGTGACATTTTTTAAACTTACATTTGATTTAGACCTGAATGAATTTGAAAGGATAAATTTTACCCGTCTTATGCCACAAATTTAAAAAAAGTAAGGTTTATTTAGCAATTGCTGCCACACAGTGTTTTTAAAGCAGATTTTTTCTTTCTATTACTGCACTATCTTCTTTCTCCCTTCCCTGGGAGTCCTGGACCAAATTCATCATCTTCAAATACTTCATATAGAAAGGCTATCCTGGAATTGCAAGGATCTGTAAGCTCCTCATGACCTTCTCCCCTTCTCAGACATTTTTTTAGATTTTCCATAAGTTGGTCAGACCTATATATTTGGGGCAAAAGTCTTGGTTTTCTGAATTCATGGCTGTGAGGGGAAAAAAAAAAAGCTTTTTCATAAAGTATTTCTTAATAGCTTTCCATTCTTCTCCCAGATGGCTTCTAGACAGGAGATGGATGTCTGTGCTTTTGTAGGATGCTATTTTTAAAGTGAAGCAGTTGCTGGATGGTTAATGAATAAAGTAATAAAAGAAGTTTGGAACTTCTTTTCTTGACCGCTTCCCAGGACACACGTTTTTGTCTGTGCAAAATAGGCTTGATTTCCTTCTCACATAGATGATTTAAATCAAGAGCTTCATCCCTGAAATCCACTGGGTTACACTAGTCCAAAGCTATTCTGAGCTAAAGAAAAATTATACTTCATTGGATATGTGCATACAGGTCATTTTATGGAAAAACCCCCAAAAGGTGAATATGTGCAATTTGGGGGATAATATTTTACACTTATCTCCCCAAATGCATTTCCTTAGCTTACTTTTCATATTTAAGTGCAGATCATACTTTAAATTCCACCATTAATACCAAATAAGGCTTACTCTTTATTTATTGTTCTTGGACAGTAAGATAGGAGGTAGATAAGGCACAACTTTCAGTTCTCAGACACATCCCTTACGTGAGAATCAGAGAACAAGAGTTCCATTTTACACTGGGCAGTGCTTTTCAACACATGGGATCATACAGAATCTTGTCAAGGTCAAATAGTGCTCAAAGCCAATTTCCCCTTCTGTACTTTGGTACAGCACATTGGCCTGAACATAATAATTCCAGATTTCCCAAGGAAGATCATCCTTGCATGAGTATTAGTATTTTTCACCTTTTTTTTTTTTTCAGGCACATCTGTTTGCTTCCAGATTTTAAAGAAGCTTCTCATTTCTGTTTTCACCACAAGTTCTCACATCAGTTCAATAAATTTTTACTCCCACAGAAGCTGTGCCACTGCTTTCAGTGAATGCAATATTTTAAATTGCATATCAGTAAATATCCACAAAATATTTAGTCTTTTGAATGCCCAAACTATTGCACAAACCACTTCAGGTTTCTATGCATCTTTTCCAAGAATTACTGCCCTTTACTGCTTCAAAATGATATTTTCTGAGTTTGATGCATTGTGAGTTCTCCTCTCATTTTCACACTTAGATGGTCTAACTGGTACAAGGTGATACATGGCCTGTGTACAAATATAGAAGGTCTGGCTTCCTCCAAAACTCACTTTGTTCAGTGGGGCCCAGTGACAGGGCAAGGGCAATGGCCATAAACTAAAACACAAGAAGTTCCACATCAACATGAAGAACTTCTTTACACTGAGGAAGGCAGAGCACTGGAGCAGCTCCCTCTCTGCAGACACCCCAAACGCACCTGGACACATTCCTGTGTCACCCGCTCCAGGTGACCCTGCCTTGGCAGGGGGGTGACCTCTGGATAATCTCCAGAGGTCTGTTCCAAGTATTCTGTGATTCTGTGATTTTGAGCCTTTAGTTATTGAAAGGTGCTGCTCGGTACAGCACTGCTGCACCTGTGAGGAGGGGAAGTGAGTGACTCAGCCTAAAGCACAGTGCTCCTAGCCCAGCTGACAAAACTCACAAAGGAAAACTCTCAGAGACCACACTCATGAAGTTTGGTTTGCTCTTGGGTGTCCTTCTTTTTGCCCAAGACAAAATCCAAGCCTCCTGACACTCATCTGGTTTACACTGACATAACTGCACAGGAGTCAGAGTGACCTCTGTGCATTCTTGAGTTGAATTCCCTTAAACCCAAGCTTAAAGTGCTTCCCTAATCAGGACTTTAACCTCATTAGAAAGGGGAAAAGTGCTGGTGAAGGAAAAAAGAAATCTATCCTTGCACGTGTCGTGCACATCTAAGTCATTGAATAACAAAAACTAATTTTAAAGGTCTAAGTAGTAGTGAGGAAGATAAGGGATGCATCACACAGCTCTTACCAAGGCTAAAGGCCTCACATTTTTTTCAGAAGTCTGAATATAATCCTACTGTCTAAAAGAGTACTGGAATATATGTGTCAAAATGATGCATATCTTGGGCTCTTCTGGCCATATCATAGACAACAGTGACTGAGAGCCATTTATCTTATGTGAAACTGCTTTACTGTAGAAAAATGATAGGACTTCCATTTGTTGATAAGATAGTTATTTCTGATGATTCCGCAACATCTAACGGCAGTTTAATTTTATCATTTCCTGTTTTCTGTGCAGCATGGTTTTCTTCTGATGTCCAAAAGATTAAGACAGCAAACCTGCCTTTCCTAATGTAGAACTTGAGCGTGAACATGTTAGAGAAAGGACTTAAGTAGAATGGAATAGAAAAGATAAAAATTTTTAAAAAAAAGAGCAAAAGTTGCTTTGCGCTTCTTATAAAGCAACTTCTAAAATTGCATGCTGTGTATTTTTATAATACTCATGATCCTGTTCAAGTGGTTTAGTAGTTACTGCATAATATTTAAGACTGCTTTAAAGAGAAAAAAAGGCACCAAAGTTTGCTTTCAGTCTTTTCTTCATAAAAATGTTGGGGGAGAGGTGTTCTTCCAACTTTTTCTTCTTAGAATGAAAAATAGAATATATAAACATTTTTATTGTCTCAAACACCTGATAGTTTTAGGTTTGCAGTTTTTTCATGTAAGAAAATTCATCTAGTTTTACAGGAAGTTTTACATATATGAATGTCTTCTAAATAGAAATCTCTAATTTTCCTAATTTACCTAAATTCAGTAAAAAAAAAAAAAAGATATCTCAGTTCCGGGCTTGCCTGTGAATTTTTCCCTGAAACACACTAGGGAGACATTGATAAAAAAAATTAGGATCTGTTGTTCACATAGGAACTGCTCAGATTATACAGACAACCAGTTACAAGGCACTAATACAGTCACTGAGACTGCATTTTCCTTTTAATCCACTGGTCACTGGGTCTTCTTTCCATTGTAAAACAAACAGAGTGGATGGAGGCTTCTCTCTGACCTTGAAAATGTAAACAGGATTAGCACTTTTTAGGTCAGCGCTTGCCAGGGCACGGAGGATCTGGAGCAGCAGGAGGGGAGGAGGGGGAGGCAGCAGGGCAGGGGGGCTCCCAGTGCTGCAAAACCTTGGCTTTGCCCGCTGGGATGGTGCTGGGGCAGCTGAGCACTCGCTGGGGACAAGGCTTTGCCGGGGCATCGCTGGTATTTGTGCTGAACTACTCCCAAGAGCGGCGGGGATACCTTCACCGGTGCCATGCCTTTGGAATTCCTTCCTGACTTCAATCAGAAATCAATTGGACCCTACATGATCAAATATTTTCCCTGCAAAGGGAGAGATAACATTTGACATGACAAACAGGGTTCTGTAAAGTGAGAAGGAGATCAAACTGTTACAGATATCAATTAAATCTGCTGCGACGTGTGCTCTTTCACGCAAGTGCAATTAACAACTAATTTATTTGGGAACAAGGTGGAGCTTTTATTCCTTGGAAAATATCTAAAGTAATTTTTTTTATTATTCTTTGAAATACATCTGGTTATGCCAATACCCTCAGACTTTATTGAAAAAATAACAAATTTAAACCTTTGGTTTCTTTAAAAAAATCAGCTTAGTTTTTCAATTTATTGTCAATTGGAAGTTAGAAGGTATTAGGCAGATTTAATCAGACCAAACAAATCTCCAAGACTTCCGTCAAGACCTCAAAATGCTTCTCAATAAATCAAAATGCTTTGTGAAATAAGCTTGTTGAAATCTCAGACAATGAAAAACATCTCTAAAGAAACTCTCCCGCTGTTCAATTTCAATGTAAAGTAGTGAAAAATTTCAGTCTTTCATTTCTAATTTAGTCTGTGTTATTCAATACAAAATAGAAAAAATAATTAAAATCTTTCCCATTTTACCACATCTTATAATTTCCAACAACTGAAATAAAAGTCAGTATGAATGTTCTTTGTGGAAATTTTAAAATTCTAGGAACTAAAATAGATTAAGATTTTGACACAGCATTAAATCCTTCATATTTTTGGACTTCCATTCTGCCCGAACTTGAATTGAGATAGTTTGAATATGATTAAAGATCCAGAACTGACGATTTAACCAAGGAGTAACAAATCAAGTGAAAGAAGGGAACTTCCTTTGCAAAAGCAAAAAGGTACCATTTTCCTGAAGGGCTGAAAATCTGGAACAAAGCTATCTCTTTCCTCTGAGATGGGCTCCCTATACTTTGTTCAGCCAAATACAGTTTGAAGTAAAACTACAACTACAGGTGGTTGGTAACAACAGAAGAAAAAAGCAGGAAACAGAAAGATTTATATTTTATAGCTTATTTTCTTAAGAAATTTACTTTGAGTAAACATGTGTTTCACAGATAGAGAACAGGAAGAGGAAATTTAAAACCAATACATACAGGAGTCATTATATACTTGTATGTCCTCTCTTGCTGAACTTTTCTTAAGAGGTCTGTTGATACTGCCATTGAGTTCCAGATTTTTGAATTTGAACAGATTAGTCATACAGCAGCTAAACAGCGGCAACTTATTTGCAAGACAATTTGCTTCTGCTTAGATTTGAAACAGTGTTCAAAAACCATACAGCAGAAATTAGGCATCTCAGCTTCCTCTGAGGTTTCTGTGTTTTGGAAAATAACCTTCTGGATGTCAAGCTAAGCTTGATGGAAGTTTCCATGAGCCACCCGCTGCTGCTGAAAAGCTCGGTGCTTTAGAAAAGCTGGTTACGGCGTCTTTGTGCCGAGCACTTCTGAAGGGCAGCGCATTCTCCTCCTGCAGAGAGCTCATCAGGTGGTGGGGGCTGCACTCAAAAGTGTGTCATAAACAAGGACAGTGGGCCCTGGGGTTAATTCAGTATCCCACTCTATGATGTACAAGTTTGGGAGGGGGAAAGGCTCCATCTCTGCTGTGGGCACGGTGACCACGCACTCTGCACAGCCTGAAGGACCTCAGCATAAAGGATCAAGCCAAAGCCCCCAGCATTCATCTCTGGGAAACACCCAGAAGGAAAAAGACCAACCTAATTGGCAACTCAGATGTTGTTGCACTCATGTAACCATACTTTTAATTCTCTGATGCTCAGGTTTCTGTTTCTGCTGGACAAAATATATTGATGTAGTCATGTGTAGATAACCAGTCTGTTTCCAAAGTTCTTCAAGATCAGTCATGTTGCTATCTCAGCTCTTTCCCAAGGTATTGTATTGACAATTCTTTTTTTCTTTTTCTGTTCTTTCTAGTTGAAGAACAGCAGAAAATTGAGGGTGGTCAGGAGACACAGAACTTAAACCCTCACCAGAGTTCTGACAAATCACAGTTAAATGACTGTCCAAGAGATTCTGGCTGTTACATCTCATCGGAAAATTCAGATAATGGTAAAGAAGAAGCAGACCCAGAAGCCCTGTCTGACATGGTGCAGTCAATAACAATCAGTGAGTCAAACTGATTTGGTCCTGCTGCTTTTCTGCAGATTTTCAGAAAAGACAATCACATTTGGCAGTATGATGGCACAGAAGCAGAACACAAAATATTCTCAACACTGAAAATCTAATTTTTTCTGATTCATGATGCTCTAAGCTGTTTCATATGTGGGCACTTGATAGGTAAATGTTAGTTAATAATAAGAATTTCTCATGTTTTTCTTTTTAATGAATTCACAGGTATTTCCCTGAAAAGGTTTATACAGAAGTATTTATAAATATTTGTACAGCAAATGCATTTTCTATAATAATAGAGAATTTTTTTAGGTATTGGTTTATAATCTGGAGATGTTAATTTCTGGAACTGTCCAAAATGTAAATATTGTACATATTTATTTTAAAAAATATATGGATTAATCACACTGTCCCTATTTTCAGCTGTGTTTTGCTGATTTGTGTACAGAATGTATTTTCATTGATATATCATCATAATAAAAAGGTGGATACAGTCACACCCTACTTTGAAAAGTACCAAGCCAATTCTCACTAATATTAAAGTAGTTTCACACCACTTTTCTCCAAAATGAGCTCTAAAGTAGACTGTCATTCCTGTACTTTTTCCTGGAGGCATGAGAGAACTGGGATGAATCTCAATTTGGTTTTCTGTTGTCCTTCTCTTGTGGAAGAACAGAGCCATCCAAATGGCTTATGCAGTGGCAATTTTATATGGTTCTTTTCACACCTGTTCTCATTTGTCCCAAGCATTATACAGAGAATTCAAGCTCAGAGGAATAAGCCATCAGGATCAATACTGTGCTTTTATGACAACGTTTGGTGAAGATGTTGCCTTTTGTGTGTGGTGTGAAGTTTGTTAATAGGGTCTGTATTTGTATACAAAACTCGGGAAGCTAACATGGTTATTGTACAAGACTGTCTTTCATATAAGATTTTATTGTCTTTTCCCAGTATGTTTCACAATGGAATACACATTTTAACTGCCTGTCTTCTTTTAGAGTACTTCCTTCAATAATAAACAGAATCATGTGTTTAAGCCCTTTAAAAATATTTGATTTTTAATGTGGTCATTACATTTCAAACACTGCTCTCTTCTAAGACTAACACAGTAAATATTAATTCCACTGAGCATTTTTAGCATGCATAAGAATCTGTGTATCAAGTCAATAGGGGGACTTTTTGCTCAGTCATTAGTCACAAAATTTTCATAATTTAAGGAATTTTGCATTTATGTTAAAGGGTTTCCACAAATTGCTGACAGCTTGAAAGAAAATCACCTTCCCAAGAGATGAAACACAAAAAGTTCCACCCCAAAAAGAGTATTTCTGAAGAAGCTATAAACAAATGGAAAGCTTTTTCTCCCTTTCTTTTTCTTTTCCCCAATGCAAGTGCTTTCTGTATTTTCATGACTTCTTAAAAGACTACTGCTGTCAGACTTCTATCACATAAGCCTGCTTTGAAGGCTGTAGTATAAAATCACAATTTTAGAAAATTGCATTAACAAGATTTCAAAGATTTGGAGTAAATAAACTCTGCTTAGAAAAAAAAAAAAACACCAGAAAGGGAGTTACTATGATTTGTTTCTGGTTTTAACTTATTTTTCATACCAGCAACAAATGTCATCATTTAGCAGCAATGACCCCATACTGCCAGGTGTGGTGGGGATGCAGAACCCTTGTTGGGATGAAGAATGTTAGAGCATGCATCAAGCAGCTATATTTGTTTTGTAATGCTTTTCCAGCCACTAGTGCATCATGACATGCAGTACTGACATTACTTAATATGACTTAACTTCTGAAATAATGGATTTGAATTGGCTTCTATCATCTCTTCATTCTAGAGAAGGACTAAATTCAGCCTGAATTCCTCTCACAGGGGCTTATCTTTTGGCTTTTATGGCAGATGCACTTAGTCTTCGGGTTCTGAAGACATCTGCAAAATTGCTGAACCTATAAAAGTATGTTGAGGTGAGCTTAAATATGATTGTGACTGTCAAGAAGCAGTTAAGTTAGCTGGGTCATTAACAGCCACCAAGACCAGAGCTGTGCCCTAATACAAATATTCTGAGAAATGTTAATTTGCACAGGTTTGCAAATGAAAATAGGCCTCCCTAACCAGTTGCAGGAAGACAGGCAAAGCTTTCAACAGAGCAAAATACCCAATGGCTGCTATATTTTACAGGAATTAAACTCTGCCTATTGGGCTGATGGCAAGGGGATACAGATGTAAGGTTAAGTGGCTGGGAATGAAGGGCATGAGTTGTAACTGCTCTGATCCCTAATCAGTTAGGCTTTGTCCAAAGGGCTTCTTATTTAGAAAAATATATCAACTGAAAGCTTGTTTGAGACTTTTGTAGCTTCCTGCAAAGGCAGAGCAGATTAGATCTCAAACTGGGACGCTTCCGCTCTTTCACACTGTTCTGAGAAAAAGAATGAGGAAATTTTGTGCCACAAAGCAAAAATTGTATTTCCTACAAGCAGCAGACCCAACTTGTGTTCTTCTCTTGGTGGTCTCATTAATCACATTGATCATGGATTAAACTGTTTGGAATAGCAGAAGCATTTCTCCAGCTGGTTTAAGTACTAGGTAATCTGAATAAAAGGTTATTCTAGGAACTCCTGGAGAAAGGCTGTCTGAATGACTTTCAAGTAATCCTTAAAATGTCCCTGAGACAGAGAAGAAAGCAGTAGAGGTTTTGTTCCTCTCTGTCACTTGCTGGAGTGTCATGTCCCTTTTCATTTTTATTAACCTTCCTCTACATTTAAGGGGGATTAAAACATTTGCAAGTCTCTTATTTGGGAGATGCAAAAGCAGTCAGTAACAGCAGAGGCAAAGCCTTGAGGCAGTGGGGATTTCCTGCTGCACAGGGCTGTGGTGCAGGTGCAGCAGGCTCCCCCAGAGCCGACTCCTGGCACATGTGCTGCTGCTGCCCACAGCCAAAAGCCACAACTCAGAAAGACCTGGGTGACCCCCACAAAAATGCAGGTGGTGGCAGGACTCCTCTTTCCCAAAGCAAAACCATCTCTGGTCAAAGTTAGCAGTGTTTAACAGTGCTGCCCCGTGCTCAGCCCCATGTGACTGCCATCCACAGCTGGCATCACATTAAAGGAGGGCTGCTCTATCACCAAAGAGAGGAGCTGAGTGCCACACCACACATGATCCATGTGGATAGCCTGCAGATCCTGGGAGGCAGCATCCTGCTCTCCAGAATTTGTAACAACACCTCTGAAAGTCAGAGTGAATGAATGCAGCAGCGTAGGGGCTACCAGCAAGGAAGGGTTTGCTTTCATTTTGCTGAGATGTCCAAAAGCACAAGAAGCACAAAGAACAATTTGGGCAGTTCTGTGGAAATTCTAGAGAAGATTCATCTCTGAGGGACTAAACTAAATACAGGCTGCCAGTTGGACTTCATAGCACTCGCACAACCCTGTCAATTGGCCTAGCCAATTTTCCACCCACCTTACCACTCAGTCTTCCATCCCATACCTCACCAATTCCACTCCTGAGTGTCTGGTGTGTGAAGTGCAGAAGCCCACAGCTCATCAGCTGTGATATAAAGGGTGCCTTTGTACCATAGCACTTTCTCCCACGTAGTGGCAATTGAAATAATTTCTGGCATTGTCACAGAGCTGCATCACACTGGTAGACCAATTTGTAAAGAAGGCTGGTGCACAGATAACAAGGCAATACTGAAAGAATAAATGGGTGCTGTGAAACAGACAGGCCAGTTTGTAGATGTCACAGCATTCACAGGATGAGTGCAACCTGCCCCTTGCCTGGAAATCAGTTTTTCCATCAAGTCAAGCCGAGCACAGTTCTTTCTGCCCACACAAACTTGCACAGATCTGTGTGCCACAGACTGACCCAGTGCCTTGGGTCACAATGGCAGTTTGGTATCTGTCCTGAGACATCTTTGATGGCAGTCGTGCAGCTGAGTCACAGTGCCACAGAAGCCTGAGCCTTTTGTCATTTCAGAGAGAAGCAGTCTCAACGTGACTAGTAACAGCATGGCAAACACTCTGCCTTTTATAGAGCTCAAAAATGAGGTTTTGGGCTATATTAGCTTTTGAATGGGTTATTGGTATCATGCTCTGTCTGCGGCCTGTGTATGTTGTAGTACTGCTTTGTGCAATGACACTCTGTGCTGGTCCAGGAAAAGGTGACATAGGATGGTACAAATGTATCCCTTTGGTTTAAGAGTTCCTGCATGAGATGTTCACTTGTGTCCCTGATCCTTGGTTCCTGGCAGGCAATGAGCAGATCTTTGCCTACAACTGAGAACGTGGAGGAGGCTATAATATGGCTGTATGGAGCATTCAGTTGATATGTACCCAGTATTACTTGATGAACCCACCAGCCCCTGCAGCTCCTCATCTGCCTGTGATTTCCTGAGGATTGGCCAGAGGACTGACACAGGCAGGAATCCTTGCTACAGGCACAGCCTGGAATCCTTGCTGCAGGTTGACAACCCTTAAATGGAGCTCTGGGCTCCCAGCACAGGAAGGACAGGGAGCTGCTGAAGCCAGTCCAGAGGAGGCACCAAGGTGGTCAGAGGGATGGAAAAAGCCTGGAGAAGAGAAAGCTTTGGGGTGGTCTTCAGTACCTGAAGAGAGCCCACAGGAAAGATAGAGAGAGACTATTTACAAGGGCTTGGAGTGACAGGTGACAGGTGAAGGGTGAATGGTTTCAAACTGACAGAAAGCAAGTGTAGATCAGAGCTTAGGAAAAACTTTGCAGTGAGGGTGGTGAGGCACTGAAACAGGTTGCTCAGAGAAATTGAGGATGCCCCATCCCTGGAAGTATTTAAATCCAGGTTGGATGGAGTTCTGAGCAACCTGGTCCTCTGAAAGGTGTCTCTTCCCAGGGTAGAGGGTTGGAATAGATGATTTGTAAGGCTCCTTTCAACTCAAAGCATTCTATGGTTCTATAATTATGTGATTCGACAATTAAATGATCCTAGAGGAAGGGCTGGTCTGGTCACTGCAAAACCAATAAAAGTGGTTTCAAACCTTCTATTTTCCCCTGGCCACTACAGACAGATGTTAAATCTACAGATTTGCATCATGTATGCAT